TAAAAAACATTTTAAGGTCAATATTATTAGCCCCTCTAAGCAATTTTCTTCGACTGTCTACAGAACAAACCATCGATATACAATAACATGCCTATATACCCTAACCTGTCTAGTTAAGCTAATTAACCTAATTAAGCCTTTAAATGTCACTTTAAGCTGTATAGAAGTGTCTTGAAAATATCTAGTCAAATATTATTTACTCGGTTATTAGAAATGAGTTATTAAAACTATTGTGATTAGAAATGTGTTTAAAAATATTTCTGTTTATCTGTATATATGTGTTTATATATATATATATATATATATATATATATATATATATATATATATATATATATATATATATATATAGAATGACAAAATCTGTTTTGTGTCGTGCATTAGAGTTTGCTTAAAAAAACTGGTTATCTCTGAGAAAGTATTATTTTATATTATTGGTGTGTTATTAGTTCAGAGGAGATTGCAAATTGTTGAATGCCATTTATAAAAAAAATGTTAAAAAAAATTGACTACAGACTTTAATAAAATTTTATCAGACAATTATTTTAATTTGTATGATTTTATTTACTACTGTAAATATTGTTTGCTTGGTATTTATTTTGTGTTTGTGTACTCTTTTTTTTATTGTAACTCCCTGAAGAAAGTCTTTTGGATAATGAACACATGACTGATATTATCTTGTATTTTAAAATTATAGTCTTGGAAACATGCATTTTCTTTAACACTATTTAAGAAATTATAAGCATTATAACATGTGCTTACACAAGTGATTTGTGTTTTTACTATAGTAAACTATAGTCACCCTTAGTGTACATGTTTTGAAGTACTTGTAAATATTCCTATGGTCTTAATGTAAATGCTGCAATGGACTTTGTATTTAAAATCTTATTTGCACAGCAGTTCAGCCATGGTTATAGTACAACTTGTTGGTTTTGTTTTAAACGTAGTAAAACATGGTTATGTGTGATAAAAGTATGTTAATCTATTTGTATGTTTGTGAAAAATATTAATAAATCTTCAACTGTTATTGAGAGTGGTGTGTCTTGTTTATTATAAATAAGCAGCTGCTGCAGCTAGTGGTCCATAAGTATGGAGCAAAACGCCTGAGAACAGCGCCTCCGCGGAGCGGCCGGGATTTCCGGTTGCGTCGTCCTAACATCGGCCGGACAGCGTTTCCGATCATTTGCCGACGTCGCGGCGACATTTTGCCAATTAGCAAACGCTCCCTGAGCGACATCGCGCCGATGGAATTTTGAAAGTCGGCACGACGTCGGCCCAACGTATGTGTGCTGTCTGGGTAAGTTAAGGGAAATGGCACTAGTTAACTAGTGTTTTTTTCCCAAACACACGTTTTAGATGGCATTTATCAAACTCGAGTTAATGAACTGATTCTTTCACTATATTAGACTTGTCACGATACTGTATTAAAAGAAAAAAAACGTCAATTTCCCGTTAATATTTAAGGCACTGTTGAGTGCTTTCTGAAAACAGCGCTGATTTGCCATTGTGTTCACATGCTCAACAGAAATGACTGTGATTGGCCGAGAAGGTTATCAGTTCATCCTCCGCTGTTTACCGAGTACAAACACAGACGAGCGATCGATCTACTTGATGACTCTATTGAACTTCACGGCTGCTTCGCGCTCCAGTCTCCGTGTATCTGTGTTTGCACTGGATGAAGAGCAATAAACTGATGAGCACTGGTGAACACTACGGTTTATCAGCACTGTTTATGAACGCACTCAGCGGCGCTTGAATGTTAGAGGGAAATGGAGTTTTTTAAAACTTCAGTATCAGGACAACACTATTACAGATACCACGAGGGTGTGCTACAGTGGACTGCAGTGTTTTATTGCTCACCGGGTTACATAGGCTGAAGCAGGGAAGCGTCCCCACAGTGTTTAACTGGTGCCATGAAATGAAGCCTATGAGGACACTTGAGCATGTTACTCTTAAAGAGATTGTGATGTTGTTTGATGCTGAATTGCTTTTAATTGTTTGAATTAAACTTACTAAATGATATTAAAGTGATATTTACACCATTTCTGCATTTTGAAATCTTTGCAACAGCTGGAGGTTTGAAGTCCACAGCATGTTACTCCAGGATTCTTCTCACTGCAGCCTGGCTTTGGTTTTTTGAAATGGCGGCCGCATGAAATAAGCGTATTAGAAAATCGTGACGTTTAAGGTCTGTTTTCTTTCAAAATAAGTGATCCTTACTGCCTAATAGATATTTCATTTAAGGTGGGTCTCAGACCAGACAAGAAGCACTGCATCAAATTAATTTTTTTTTTCCTGCCATCACTTTAAAATATGAACATTTGTTTTACCTCAGTATTTTGAATGGAGTTTCTGCGCTCACCTGCTGATCCTGACGATGCTAGCGGTTACATGGTGTATCATCCTGTTTTAGGTTTGAACGAGTGAATGAATTATTTGATTGGTTGTATATTAATTACATTATATTGCGTATATACATATATATATAATTACGTTATTTGGGAAATTAAAATGTAGACATATTATAGATTTAAATATTGATAATAGAAAGATTATATGCAATTAAGTTTATTGGTGTTGTATTGGATCATAAAATTAGTTGGAAACCACAAATAAATAATGTGATATCAAAATTAGTCAAAACTGTAGCAATAGTGTATAAAGCAAGATTTATCCTGGACAATAAATCAATAGATGTATTATATGTTACACTTATGTTGCCATATAAGAGTTATTGTGTTGAAATTTGGGGGAATCCATACAAATCTAAATTACGATCCTTAAGTACAATACAGAAAAAAAGTAATTAGACTGATGAAAATGTGGGGTATTTGGAGCATACAAATCCCTTATTTTTTCTTTTAAAGATACTTAAGTTCAATGATTTAGTTAAATTTAAAACAGCACAGTTTATGTTTAAAGCTATAGGAATACTTACGAAATGTATACAAATGTTTCTTGAAGAAAGAAAGAAAGATTAAGACGACTTAAAAAATTGTGTCTAGAACTGACTCTCAAACAATGTCAGGATATTCATCAATTTAAAAAGTTGTATAAATATATATTATTAAAGGAATAGAATGATTAAGGTGATTGAAAAAGAATAAAATTAGAAAGGTATAATGAAATTTCAATTTCTGGCTGTTTGCAATACTGTATATTTTGGGTCTGTTATAAAATGTACAAATGGAATCAAACATAATATGTCAAAGATGCCAAAAGGATGAAATATGTCTCAAGCAAAAGAAGAAATTAGTTTAAGTAATAGACAAATGATGTGTGTAATAATGGGGTGGTAAAATAATAAGCTTGTGCTTTATCCCGCTCCATTTTGACCATGTTGAAATGTATTTTTTTGTTAAAGAATTTTAATGTTTATTTCTGTTAGAAACAAATCAATTTATTATAATGTAAATGCTGTAAAAGCAACCTCATAATTTTTAAAATAGTCACATTAACCTTTCACTGGAAGTTTAAGGTGCCACTAGCTTGCATGGTTCGGGATCTGTAGAGCTGCGCATCGATGGAGTTGCTCTTCGGTGTTTGGACTCTCAGTAGTGATTATTAAACCACACTGAACTGAGCTAAACTGAACTGAACTTAAACTCTGAAAACTGAACTACACTGTTTCAATTTACTTTGATCTTTTATGTAAAGCTGCTTTGACACAATCTAAATTGCAAAAGCGCTATACAAATAAAGGTTAATTGAATTGAAAAGTTTTTCATTGGCACTAAAAACACTAGCGCGCACCTTCACATGACACGAAAGAGAATACATTGGTGAAGAAAATCATTTTTTCCCAGTTATTTGGCACACAGACGTTGAGTGGAGCTTTGAATCATTACAGTTGAACCACTGACGTCATGATGGAATGTTTTGAGAATGTTTTTTGGTCCACTCTGTACTTTGAACGTCTCGGCACCGTTGAGAGCAGCAGTTCTATAGGTGAAAAATGTCTTATTGATGACAGAGTTTAGAGGGGAAAGACCAAACTGGTTTAAGCAGATAGAAAAGCAAATGCAACTTGAATAGCCACTCATTACAACAGAGGTCAGCAGAAGATCAACACACAGCATGCAAACTTGAAGCAAGATGAGCTACAGAAGCAGATCACACAGGTGCACCTCCTGTTAAGCAAACCGAGGATCGTTTACGCAGAGTCACCAAAAGTGTACGACAGAAAATAGAAAAGTTTGCTTGGTCTTATTTGATTCAATTTCTACTTTGATGTTCAAATGGTTTCAAAATTATGGTGGAAATAACATGAAAGCATGGCTCCATCCTTTCTCATATCAGTATTGTAGGAGACAACATCTTGGCACATTTTGGCCCCTTAGTGCCAATGAAGTATTCTTCAAACACCACAGCCTACCTGATTATTTCTGTGGAAAATTTTTACCCCTTCATGACCACAGTGAACCCATCTTAAGGATAACACTCCATGTTACAAAAATCATCTCAAACTGTATAATTTTAACATGACTGAGTTCACTGTACTTAAATGGCCTCCACAGTCACCAGACTTCAATCCAATAAAGCACCTTTGAGATGTGGCGAAACGAAGGATTGACGTCATAGACGTGCAGCCAATAAATCTTTGTTGACCTTTCAAATCAGCATGGACCAAAATCTTGGAGGAATATTCATAGCACCTCGCGGAGTCAACATGCTGAAGAATTGAGACAAAAAAGGGTCTCCAACTAGGTACTAGCCAGGAGTACGTAATAAAGGGGCCAATAAGTGTTTTTACATACTTTGTTACTTCAAATAAGTGGCACTTTAGCTTACTACCTGTACATAGTAGCTCAGGAAGCTAAAAAAGTGCCACTGAGGACACCGGTTCAACAACTTTTGGTCTCCAGTTAGTCTGGCTAAAGCTTTGGCAGCCCCTGGCAGTCTTAGACCCCCAGGGCACAGAACCAGTCCACAACCCACACCTGCATACATTTAGTTTCTGTGACATTTTAAATGTGGTATCAAACGCAAGCGTGAACTAAATAGTAAGAGGATGATGAAACAAGCTTAAACTAGACCATACTTCTCATAGATTTTCAGCCTGTAATCTATGATTTAGAATTACCTTACCATTAGCACTCACCGAGAGATTTTATTCATATTAAATCAATATATGAGACTATTAATAATAATATCTGAGGAACTAAGAATGAAATAAGATCAAAAGCAATAAAACAGGAGAATCAGAGATGTATATGTTTATTACCACAGCGTCTGCTCTGTATTCTGTCCAAAAAAATAAAATTTCAAATGTCAATACATCCAACTGGAACAAGCATATGCTTTACTTACAAAACAAAAAGAATCAACATTAAAAAGGACACAACAGGATGTTGGGAAGAGAAACTAAATTCTCAGCCTCGTTACAGAAAGGCCAAAGATAACTGAAAGACGACAAACAATGACACAGACAAATAAATTTCTCTATATATGCGTATGTGTGTAAATAAAGCCGGCAAGAAGAGACTTTACATTCTGCGGTCCCGCTTTGGGACCAGATTGTGAGAGTCACTACGATGAATGGTGGCACTCGTTATGACAAAACCTTCAAACCAAACAACAATTGCTTCAGCATGTAAAACATCGAAACCCTACAGACAGGAAAAACCACCCAGCGACCCCGAAAAAAATGACCATTCTGGACTGGTCAAGCAGCAGTCAGAGAGACACCACACAAAGCGAAGTCACGATTAAAAGCGTTTCAGGCCTCGGTGCACCTTAAAGAAGAGGCTTGCTTTTTGTTTTGAGGTTACTGCATTGGACTTGTTCACACATTGTTCAAAAGTAACAGTTCTGCAGCGTGGTTTGATTGATTTGAAGGAAATGTTTATGCCCGTCTGCCGTTAATCTCTCTCGATAATAATTACTATAATAATAGAATAAAACAGTAAAACACAAAGACAGCTCACTGTCACTGGTCGTATCTCTCTTTGCATTCATTCGGTGCTGGTGTTATGTTTTTGTTTTGGTTAGTCTGACCCCATGTGAACTTCGATCAAATCATGTGACGTGGGTCAGAATCATCTGAACTTATCTGTATTGCAGCAGGAGGGAAAACAGAAAAAAACAAACCCCATCCAATCCTCTGAAATATCTCATCATACTCAATACTGCCACCTGCTGGTCAGACTATCATTAAACAAATGAGAAAATAAGAGAGTATTTAGAGGTTCTAACAATGAAGGATTTGGTTGAAATCAATAACTTGATTTCCACAGCAAACTTTAATTGAAATGTTATCAAAACCCATATAAATTCACAATGATTATTTCAAATGACTGAAATGCCAGCTCTCATTGGAGATTATTAATCGGCCGCAGTCACTATTATTGCATTGGGCTTCTGTAGAAAAAGTTTGTACTGAACGTCTAGACACCAGCTCCAGCATTTTCAATGATCTGAACCTTTTGGTTAAACGAAGACTGATTGGACAAAACGTCGAATGAATGAACGAGAGGACGGTGCTTCAGTCACATGATCTCTTTTCATACACAGAAGTGCCAGTGTCACCTTTGGGGGTACACAAAGATGGAAAAAAAAATGTTTAAAATGAGAAAAAGTTTGGGATGTTTTACACTCTGAAAGTAGCGTAACACTGAGCACTTGATAGTATTCGACATCCCAGTCTACTTGTGACCTCCCTTTTTTCCAACACACACGCGCGCGCGCACACACACACACATACAAACAGATTTTTTTTTTATCACGTACAGCAGGTTTGTGTGTTCAGCATGTATAAAAGGAGCTCCTGAACAGCTCCATCACTGACAGTCGTCAGAATTAAATTGCAAAAAACAAAAAAACATGATGGAGACACACACACACACACACACACACACACACACACACACACACACACAGACACACACACACAAAAATTTCCCTTACTTACTGCAGCAATAAGAGTCTTTTGGATTTTCTTTTAGCTGTGTATAACATTTGGGTAGCAACACCTGAATTGTGAGGCCCTGAGGTTTTAAACGGACACACGTTTATTAGATTGTGTGTGTAAAAGTGTGTTTAGAGGGAGACAACAGCAGTTTGGCTGAGAGGAGTCTTTGAAACCCTTTCTCCACTTGGAGAGATGGGTCCAGCTGAGAGAGAGAGAGAGTGAGTGTCTGTGTGTGTCTCTCTTTTTCTTATCCCGCCTGTTATCGGAGAGATAGAGAAAGAGACGGATGGAAAGAGAGGACATCAGTGGAAATATGTGCGGTAACAATAAGCACCTACGGCCAGTGCCGTGCACAAACACAAGCTGACCACCAGGGGGCTCCAGGCTTCTTGGGCGGCAGTGGTAGGAGCCTCCGTTGCAGGAGTTAAGGGAGGAGATCGCGGAGGTTTGGGAGGAGCTTCTCTTGGGATGATCGGTTCGTCGGGTTGTTCATTTACCAATGGCAATGCTCCGACTTCTGCTGGGACTGTTCGTTTGCGAATTTCTGGCCCGTCTGTGAATGTCTTGGGCGCACTGTAAAAACACCAGACAGGTTGGGATGTGCTTGTTGGGTTTGGATGATAATTACTAGTGAGAAAGAGAGGCTGACCTGTTTGCACATATTTCTGCACTGTTTGTGATGCTCTCGGTGAAGAGGTGTGCGAGGTCAGAGTTCCCTAGGTCACCTTTGCCGTTAGGAGGGTCTATTCGGGGCGGTGGCCTGGGCGGAGGAGTTAGTTCAGGGGGAAGATCCTCCTCATTGGATAACTCCTTCCAAGACTCCTGTTCACACAAGCAAAACACATTTCACTGACTGAATTTCTCCTGTGAAATTTAAAATAAAGTTTTTTAGATGTCAGTTTTAGTCTTAGTTTTAAGAGTATCTATTAGATAGTGTGAACCAAACAGTGACAAAATAAACGGTAAGAAAATCTAAAACTGATATAAACATCCAAAGCTTGCAGATTGTCACTTCAGCCCAAACGGATCAATGATTTTTATCAAGTAACCTCATACAGTTTCTCAACAAATCTCGAGACTCCTATCGCTCAATAAAAAAATATCGCCACAATCTATTCTCAAAGTTGGGTTAGGAGCTGGGTCAATTCTACGCAAGCTATGATGACTTTCACCTTGATATTTTAGCACGGATGTATACCTGACTGGTGAGCTGTCTGAAAAAAAAGTGCCCTTCTTAATCAAATCAGCAGGATGCCTGACTTTAACAGCAGTTCGGTAGTTTTTACTTTAACTCATGAACATTTAATTCATCCTCCGTGACAAACTGGGGTATTAGTCTCAAATAAGGACTGGTGAGAGTGTTATAAAATTTAATAACGCACACCAAATGGAAAGCAAAAAAACTTCTGCATTTTGAAATATGCATGTGTGTGGTCCTTTAATGACAGCCGCGTGTGTGGATCTTGTCGAAAAAAATGGCGAAAAGTCCTACATGACGGTGATAGTTTGATTGCGGTGTTTACTTCAATAATGCCCCTAATATATGCATACTCCATGTCTTAATTCCATTTCTGTTCAGTTCAGTTATGACTTAAGTCAGATTAAGGTTATCTCAAACATTTTTATATATATATATAAATAAATAAAAATCACTGGTTCGAGCTTATGTAGGCCTACAGTTCAAAACTCTTGTTTAACTAAAAAAGCAGTTGGTAAACACAAGTACATCTTATTGAACATCATTCATTTTCATCACTAATTATCATAGTAGAACAGTTTCTCAAGCAGTTTGTGATGCATTTTGGAAACAGGAGATGAGCCCCAGGGGTCCGTTCTTCGTACCTCGCTTAAATGATCTAAGATGATTTGGCAGATCCTGGATCTTTTAATCTTGATAACTGATCTTGATAATTTGGTTCTTCAAACAAGTTATGAAATCAGATTAAAATGTCTGGATAAACTAATCTGAGATCGCTGCATGTGTTGTAATGGACAGATCTATCGATCCTCGAAATCATGATTAGCAATGTAACTATTGGCTGATGGCACAGCAGCGTAATGACATCATCTGATTAATATTTAATTATCCATGTGAGCAAAACTACATCAAATTAGCAGTAAATGGTTTGTTAAATGTGACGCGCAATAACTTTCCACATTTGGTGTGGACTGCAGACTTTACAAGTGTCAAGAGTATTCATCATGTATTTCAATGCATATCAATGTATTTAGTTCTACATTTAGAGAAGATTTTCTATATTAAAGTAGCCTAGGCATACTCAAGTTTTTTAAATAGCGTAAGGAATAACTGTATAAATTAATTTAGCATCAAAAAAACATTTTGATATCGGTAAAGGTGTAATTTAATGCAATCACCAGAATATTAGTGTTCAAAACATGTGCATGACTGCATAAATTATTACATTTAAAAAAAAACATTTATGAAGTCTAATATTCTGCATGTACACGTTTGCATCTAAAAAGTTCCTATCGATAAATTTTCTCTTTGAACCACCAGGTGGCAGTCTTTTACTTTTATTTCGGAGTGCAGATTGCATAAGTTTTATCAATACATCTTTTAACTTGTATACTATTTTCCCAAGTGTATATAAATAGTGTAAGAAATTATCAGCATTTGGTAATACTTTCAGTATTATCTTTGCTTGTACTGACCCGATCTAATCCTGTTTTTATAAAATGAACCTGCTCCTACGCAGGTTTGATCTATCAGAACTGTTGCTATGACAACAAGTCTCAGATGAGTTTTGAAGAACGAAACGATCCTGGATCGTGTCAAATCGTCAACATCCAAATCCAGCTAATTGAGTAATCCACAAACAAAGAACAAACCACTTGTCTAATGCGCCATCTGGCTTGAGAAACCCATTCTCAAAGAATTATTTTTTGGTTAGCACGCATTCTGAATGCCTTTGGCAAAATTCAAATGAGCCATTTTAATCTTGATAAATTCCAAGATTAATTTAGATTAAAAAAAATATGTAATCAATGCCCACCTATAGTTTCTGTTCCTTCTTAATGCAAACTGTGTAAAGAATTAGCGATAAAATGCTTATGAAAAACAGTTGTTTGCTTATCTTCAAGCTCTGCTTCAGTTGCTTGACACGTGTGCACGTGAAGAAGCCGGTGAGTGCCAGCGCACACACACGTTACATACATCTCGACATGTGAAAGTGTTGCTCCATGTTTTCATTGAAGCTGCTCACAATACTTATTCATCCACAGAATTTGTAATGTAGTCAAATGTGTAAACATTGCAGCTGGAAGAGCATCCGCTGTGTAAAACATATGTTGGACAAGTTGGCGGATAAGTTAGCTATGGTTTGCACTTCTGCCTTTGGATGTTTCTGCAGCTGCATGAATGCTAAAGCTTTAAATAAAATTGAAACTATCAACAAAACAAAAGCCTGACCCCTTCTATGTTAACAAAAACAAGCTTAGCCGTTTATAGATCATTTCTGTAATGTCAGAATTTACCAGTATTTTGTGATGGATGTGTGAATGTTCTTTTCCGGAAATATTCCAGAATGTCCTTGCCTGTGTGAACAGCGCTTTTTTGAATTTACCAGTAAAGTTGTTCCAGAAATTTTCCGGATATTTACCAGTATCACTGTGTAAAAGGGGCTTATGTCAAATATCGAACAAACAAAATGCATATTTTAAAGCACTTCACAGGAAAACCCCTATTTGACTATCATCCCCTGGCAATACCTGTACAGACGTGTCTCCCATGATGTACTTGGCACCCTCTATGAAGGCAAGGTAAGAGAAACGCAGCTGGTCAGCCGTCTGGATCAGACCCATGCGGTATCGTCGCATTTCCAGCAAAACCTCCTGAATGCGTACAGATGATGGATCTTTCCTCTGAGACATCTGACAAAACACAATAACAGTTGTTTAGAGAATATTAGAGAAGTACAAACTTTCCACTAAGCTCTAAACAAAGGAAAGAGCAAATCCGCCTACACTGGACTGACTGTCTAATGAATTACATACGAGATGTAAAGACGTGCAGCAAGAGGCTCAGGATACTACTGTTAAACATACGAAAAATGATCAAGCATTTTTTTCATTCCATTTTTATTTATTTATTGAAATTTGTAAACTGAATACTTAAAGGCTGCAACATTTATTTATTTTAAAGAGCCTTATGACTCACACAGTTCATTTCAAAAACAGAATCATTTATAAACAAAACATCAGTGTTGCTAGGAGATGCACAAAAGCTCTGCTCCCACTTTGTTAGAAAGTGTTTTCATTGTCATAATCAAAAACAGACAGACTGCCTTACAATGTACCCCAATAGGTACTTATAGTTTGTTGAACTGTAGTAAATTATATATCACATTTCCGAATTATAATATTCAGGGAGAAAAGCATTTTAGTTGAGTAATTTTACTACATCACATCACTTCTAGCGAGGTCTAATGCAGGGATATAATTTGCTTAATTAAATTGTAGACTCAATGGTATGTTTTTATTTTATTTCTGTAAATGACATTTTCAGTGTGCACATTATTAAAACTATTACAAATTTAGCGTAAACAATAAATCTCATGCACACCTGTGTAGAAAAACCATAATCACTTCTGTGTAAATTATATTTTTGTTTTTGTTTGTTTTATTTTTTTAATTTTAATTACAAAAAATAGCATAGAGTGCTGTGGTACTAATAAAAATGAACAGAGAGGAAAAAAGGCAGTGTAGAACACAAAGGTATTCGGATATTCGGCCACCGAGCGCATTTAGGATGTTCTCACACTAGGCTATCCAAACCATGCCCAGGCACATTTGACAAGTGGGAGTGCTCCAAGCCAGGCTAAGGCACGGTTCAGTTGGCCGGCCCGAGCCCGGTTGGAAGAGGTGAGTCAGAGCGCAGTTCAGTTGGGCTTTGGTGCGGTCCGTTAGTAGTTTGAGTGCAAAGCGCACCCGAGCACAAAACTGAAGACCCGACATCACTTTTAAGGGACTGTTTTACATGGATTTAGCAATCATTCTAACTGTTCAGTTAATGTGAACTGTCACAGTTTATTAAAGATAAAAAAAACCCGCTGCATGACAGCTGCCACCTTCAGCAGACCTCCTAATACCTGCAGCACAATGACTTTCATGAACATTGAGTGTCAAATGTGTTCAGCAAATAATCCGACTGTGTGTCACTGCATATCAAAAGACTTAAAATAATACTAAATAATATAACTAAACCAATCTCTGTTGTACCAAGCGATAGCACTTCCCTTCTGTTAAACTGAACAGTTAAATCATCGATGATGTAAGGCTCGGAAGGCAAAAAATGCAAGTGTCTAGTGTGAGTACACCCTTTAACAGAAACTTGCAGTGTATGATTTAAGGGTTAATTAATTGATTGGTCTACTGCTTTAGAACAGACACTGTTAAGTGGCTGCTGCATGTAAAAGCAGATTTTTTTCTTCATTTGACCTGCCACTGTCTAAAAAATTTGGCTCATCATGTGAGCAGTGCTTCAAAAGATTGAGTTGCAATCGTAACAGTTATGCACCTCCTTCAAAGGAAATATACATTGAAAAACAATGGAAAAGTAGCTCACTGTAATGGAAAAACACATTCTGGTGACTGAGCGCTATCAATGAGATGATTCTTAAAAGACATTTTTTAAATTGAACCACTATTCTATGTAATACACTGATTTATAAAAATGCCAATAGCCTAGTGGTTTGTGCTTCAACACATGGCACTCTGGTGCTCACGGTGACTTGAGTTAGATTCCCATCTCAAGGTCCTAAGACAATCCTTCCCCTCTCACTGCTCCCCACACTTTTTATAAAATAAAGGTGAAAACTATGCGAGTTGAAGTCGTAATGGACATGCATCTCTATCAAGTTTAATTTCATTAGGGAAAAAAAAAACATTGGAAGAGTACAGAATTGAAATGGAAAAAATTCCGTTATCTCACCAATAGAAGGCAGGTGTCTACAAGGCAGAATGTCCCAGAGCGGCCGATGCCAGCGCTGCAGTGGACCACCACAGGACCAAGCTCTGGACTCAGACAGCCCGACTCACGCACTTTAAACAGGAAGTTAAGAAAAGAAGCAGGAGACTCCGGAACGCCAAAATCTGGCCATGTGGTGTAGTGGAAATGAAGAATCTCCCGGGTTTCCTGTGTCTTTAAACACACACACACACACACACACGACATAGCATTAATCAAGATGAGTGTGTTTGTCAGAATCGAGCCTCTGGCAACTGTAATATCCTGAGAGTATTGAGTCAAGGCAACAACCTGACCAGCATTAAAGAAGCTCTGAAAAACTAAAATGTCAGCTAAATGGAGAGAAGAGGGATTGCAGAGAGTCTCGGCATAGAATGATCGGTGACAGAGATTGACAGATGAGCGAAAGCAGGACTGAATGAGATCAGGGGAAGATCAAGAGCCTCACCGACAGATTTTCCAGCTCCAGCTGTCGTACTGTGTAGTACGATTTCACGTCCTCTGAGATCAGAGTAAGTCTGAAGTTTGTGTCCTCAAAAACAGCCTCCCGCTCCTCTCGCTGAGGCCAATACTGAGCACACTTCACCTGAACACAGACATACATACACTTCTTCATTACAACAACACAACATTAGCCTCACACACAAACACATCAATCCCAAATGCAAGCTAAAAGTGATCGAGTGGGAATTTGTAAATTAATGTTACAGATTAGGGAATGTTATTTTTTTTTAGCCCACATTATTGATCTTATTCTTCACGTACAAGTGGGAGCAGCCATTGGTATCTAGAGCAAGTAGTTTTCTGCAGTTTATTATTCCCAGTCATTTCTCCTACATTCAATTTCAATTTCAATTCAAAGAACTTTATTTGTCCCCTAGGGGCAATTCAAGACATATGGAGCAGCACCAAAAGAAAACAATATCATTAACACACAAAACACAACGTACAAATAGATAAATGACAATAACAACATTAAATACTGACAAATATATGAATTAAAAATTTCTAAAATGCATCCTGAAATGTGTTACAGTTTGAGAGTTACGTTTTGGAGTTTAAAAGCAGAATGGCTTTAGGAACAAAAGTGACTCTCCTTTTTTGAGTTCTACACACATTGCAACGAAACCGTCTTACAGAGGGGGCAGCTCAAATGCTGAATGGAGAATATGTGAGAGGTCCTTAATAATCCTTCTTGCTAACCTAAGAGTCTGTTGATCACATATGCCTGAAAGAGACAGGCAATCCAACAGGCAATCCAATAATCCTAGAACACACTGTAACAACACTTTGTAGCCGATTTCTATTCTGTAAATTAATAGAATGAAATAAACAAGAAATGGAAAATGTGATATTCTCTATGAAAGAATAATACAACAAAATGTCTTTACAGACTCCAAAGGAACGGAGTTTCCTAAGGGGATACTGCCTCTGTTGGCACCCCTCAAGAATCTCCAGTGTTAGAATTGAATTTCAGCTGGCAGTCGAAAATTGTACCCAAGTATTTATACTCCACAACTAGCTCCACAGGTTTTCCATGAATGTAGGTGGTAAATGCTGTAGCCAGATCCCTCCGCTTACTAGAAAAAGTCCCTACCATCTCTTTGGTTTTAGTTACATTAGACTATAAGCAACTGAATTGAAAGCTCTAATCAAAAATAATAAAAAATAATAATAAAAAATTAAAAAATATATATATATATCTCACACAAATGAGCACACTTACGCATTGCAGTAAAAGATTAATACTTTGTTTGGTTTTGTTTTTTGGACACATGTTAGCATACCTCAGCCAATATGCAAAAACAAACTATATTTTGAGCTTTTTTTTCCTCACCGAGCCTTTCTCTATAACGCGATTCAGCATTACAACTCCTCGACTGCGCTGTTCCCAGACCATCTCCCAGAAATGACCACAGGTGTTTGGTAACGGACCCTAAAAACACAAACACACACAAATGTTATAAAACATATACTCTGTATTGTAATAATACATTTTTTAATGAATTTATCCTGTAACAGCACTCATCAGGGTTTCTGCAGGTTTTATCAAGTCAAATTTTAGACTTTGAGACCATTATAATTAAGATTTTAGACTTATACGGGGCTAACTACTAAGAATTTTTCGTAATGGCCCGGTTGGACCAATAGAATTGGAAAAAAACAAATGTACTTATTTTTTAACCACATATTTTAATGTGTCAAAACAAGAAAACTCCAGTTGTATAGACTTTTCTTTCAACATAATTTTTAATGACAAGTTTAACATAGTTAAAATTTGTTTGCTTCTGATCCAAATGAATCGAGTATAACTCCTACTCAACCTAATGTGTTTCTGCTATAAAACCTTAAGTTTCATTGCTAAATATAATTATGTCCACTCACACTTTCATTTGTAACGCAATGTTTCTGTGAATTTAAGACTTTAATGTCTTTTTTTGTTTTTGAAATTTAAGACATATTAAGATCCTGGAGATACCCTGACAATATTAAGCAAAGTAATAGTTTGGCATAAGTGTCACAATTTTGAATAGTTTTTTTTTTCTTATGTATTTGAAATAAGGCTTGTGTTTAACAAGTCTAAAGTGTTAAATTGAATAAAAACTTGTATTATAGCTTTCAACATATTCCAATATAAAAAAAGGCTCAATATGGAAATTTTTTTTCTGCATGAGTTTTTGTGTGCATTAAAAGAATAACATAATTCTGACTTTATATGCTTTGTAAATTTAAACAATACTTTACTATGTACTTAACATTCTGTATTACATTTATTTAGTTAGAATTATACGGATAGGGTTAAAAAATGTATGTAAACACATGTACACAAAGTTACATGGACCTTATACTTCACATACAAAAGACAAAACATAAAATGGCTCAAATTCTTGAAAAAATATTAAATTTGAATAAAAAAATAAAAAATAACTCATGCCCTCTAATAACCTTATGCTTTTATACTCCAGTAGTAAGTCACACTTCTTGTATGTGTGAAGTACATGACGGTGCGGGTGAGAATGTGTGTGTGTGTGTGTGTGTGTGTGTGTGTGTGTGTGTGTGTGTTGAGTGTTTGTGGCTGTAGGCAGCAATGCTTTGACTGAACAAGGCTGGCAGGTTGAGACGAGTCTGCTGCCGTCTCTGAGCATCAGTGCACTAATTCATCTGTACAATAAACGAACTATGCCATGCTGACGCAACTCAAAGATTTCACAACATTTCCAAGCATTCTCTCCAGATACAGGAGAGGGAAAATCTCTCCGTCTGATGCCACGAGTGTCAGAATGGAATGTCACTATAGTACAGCAGTGTGTGACGTGGGCTGGGGTGTTGGTAGACTGACACATAATGCAAACGTCAACAAGCATTACTTGCTTAAAAGGATAGTTCACCCAAAATAAAATCCTGCCATCAATTACACACCTTTGTCTTGTTAAAAAAATTGATTTTTTTGTTGTTTTTCTTTTGAACACAATAGAAGACATTTTGAAGAATGTTGAAAACCTGTAATTATTGATTTCCACACTATTTGTTTTTCCTACTATAGATGTCAAGTTACAGGTTTCAAAATATCCTCTTTTAGGTAAAAAAAAAAAAAAAGAAATTTATACATCTGAAACCACTTGAGGGAGAGTAAATTTTAACTTAGGGGTGAATTATCCCCTTAAACCATCCCTGTTTAAACAGCTAGCTATCTAGCAAATGCGTGTGTGTGTGTGTCTGTGTGAGACTTTGTGAATTAGTGTGCGATTAATATTATACTACTAATCATTTTAACCTACTATGACAAAAATGAATCCCCTTTAAACTGAACATTTAAATGTTTTTTTTTTATCTGCATTTAATTTCGTATTTTTCGATTATCCGACATGTGTGATCAACCACGAAGAACATTTTATTTTGGCCTTGCACCATAAAGCTCAAAAGCACATTTAAACTTCCTTAAATTATTGTTTATAGATGACGAGACTTTAATAACTTACACTTCAGTGACCATATCGACATTCACATGTTTGGCACAATTAACATCTGCCTTATTTATTTATTTATTTTTTTTAACCAATGCCATTTACAGAGGCAAATAAAGTAAGCAGATGCAGTTGTTGTATCTGCTTGGTTAAATCTCAACAAACTGCGTTTTTTTTTTATTTTTATTTTATAGATGTCGACTCTAGCTATATTTTTCTGCATTTAGAACAATATTAAGCACTAAATTGTGAACTAACAATTGAATTTACCCTTAGTGTAAATTTTCTTTCTTTGTTTTTAATAGTGGCCGACCAATTATAACTTTTGTCATGGGACTTGTGAATTTTATTACATTTCTTAGAATTTTTGTCTTGTTTCTAGTCCAATTATCTACATTTCAAAGCAAAAGCAAGATTATTTCACTTACCCCACTGGCAGATAATTTCCTTTAAACAAGCTAAATCTCTTAAAGGGGAAATGAAGCACTCAGTCAAGTTTACCTTATTTTGTACATTGGATTTCACTTTAATGAAAATATATCAAACAAACTCTATTATTTTAACCATTTAGCAGAAAACGGCGTGTTTTACTTTAGATTTCAGACCTAGGGCGCAGCCATCTTGGAATGTCACTGTGTCTGACGTCACGGGATTGGTTGAGTTGGTTGCAAATTCAAGCATCAGATGTGTGTCTAATATAAAAGTATTTATATTTATTCTATTTTACTTTTTTCCTTTTTAATTACCAATCATTTGATGCGCTTTAATACACTCTCTGTATTACACTGCCTGTCTGGGTTTCCACCCTGATTGTAACAGACTGAACACAAAGACTGGACAGCCTAATTTAACCCAATGCATGAAGATGTGGCCGAGCATCACAGAGCTGCTGCAAATACCACAAATACAAGCATTTAG